TTGAATTGAGAAACATATCAAAATGTATGTTTCAAAATCAAAAATGTGATAATCGGGGATAAACGCATGAAATATTCGGGTGATGAGGTTTGAAAAAATTGTATAATCTTTGTACCTAATACCTATTGTTATTTGTTATACCTATATGGCTATATGATAGGTAGGTACATCATTGGTATTATTGATATTTCGTGGGGAGGTTAACCCTTCGCCGCGAAACGGTATGCGGCGAAATGTCCTAGACCCCCAAAATTATTGTTGTTGACAATAATCCGTTTAACAGTATTTGTAAATTTGTAAAGAGTKGAATATACAATTAAGTACATCCAGTCCATACTTTCATCAAAGTATTGGCTTGGCAGAAAAATCAGTAAATATAGTTAAAGGAATGTTACAAAAAATTGGGGAAGAAGGTGGTGATCTTAACACATACTTATTAAATTACAGAAACACACCTGTAACAGGTTTAAGTTATTCACCTGCTCGGCTATTACAAAATAGAAGATTAAGGTCTTTAGTAAATAACTTWAACGAAGAATTTTTAAAATCTATAGTTGTTAATGTGAGGGAAGAAATAATTAAAAATAAAAATAAACAGATGATGAATTATAATAAAATTACAGGAAAGGAAGAAAAATGTTTTACACAGGTCAAAAAGTCTACTTTCAATATGTATTGAATAAAAAATGGTTCCCAGGCATTATTATTATCAAAACTGAATATCCTATATCTTATATAATTAAAGATGTAGATGGTAAAATACCGAGACGCAATTCAAGGTTTATTAAAAAAGCTAAAGATTATAATTCAGTTAGTGATTTTGATGATGACAATAAAATAGGTGTTAAAAAAGATAATATTCTAGTTAAGAAAAATAACATTAATGTACAAGAAAAAAAGAGACAGAAATATTACTAGGTATGGTCGCAAAGTTAAAAAAGTTTGAGAGATATGGTTATAATAAGTTTTAAGAACAATTTATGAATAGCAGTATTTATAATTTTGTTACATATAAATATTGAAATTATGTATTACTTGTTTAAGTCATATGCCCGGTTGCATAAAAGATCGTTAAATATTTAACGGACCGTTAGCACCTTTAACGACTCACTAAACTAATTTCGTTGCATAAACGTTMTTTAAATATTTAACAGCCCGTTAAATTTTCGTTTAACGGTCCATTAGGTAATTACCCAATATTGGATCGCTAAACTTTAAAGGTTCGCTAAAACGTGTTATCTGTAAACAATTTATGTTTACATTTTCTGATAACTGATAACATAAACATTATTATTTTTAATACTTTAGTATTAATTATTGTTTTTTTGTTTGTGTCATATTTAATTAATTGATTGTTAAAMTTTACTTATAAATTATGGCATTGTATTATGAATCATCATCATCATCATCCAATGAGAGTGAAGAAGGATTTATCTTAAATATATTGATACGTTTACCAAAACCAAGGGTGTTTCGAGATAGATCTGATCCACTGACTTATTTTGATGATRWAGAATTCAGTCGTAGATTCCGGTATATAAATCTAATTTAATATTTATATACAGGTATGTATTAATAAGATACCTAATAAATAAGCCCTTTTTAGTCTTTCTAAAGTCATGTTTGGTGAATTGATGCATTTGATTGGGGAAAATATTCAACATGACACAAGAAGAAATCATGCTATTCCATCTCCAATGCAAATATTAATTACATTACGATTTCTTGCTACTGGAACATTCCAAGTAAGTAATTATAAGGTTTATATATAATTAAATCAGATGGTGATAGATAATGAACCCTCCTCAGACTCAAAAATAAGGTTGTTTATTGTTAAAGCATGGTAGAAAATTTAGGTCTTACAGAAGAGTATATAGCCTCATGAAATACTCTATCACTCTGTTACTGACTTATTCTGACTATTTTGTAAAATATTTTCAGGCAGTTATTTGCGATTTGGTAAACATTCATAGATCGTAAATATGTCGTATTATTAAACGAGTGTGTAATGAAMTTGTTCAACTCCGAAGAAAGCTTATTAAAATGCCATCAACCCCTGTAGAAATAACCAAACAAAATTTGGGTTTTATTAAATGCACAAATTTCCTTAAGTGATTGGAGTTATAGATTATACTTACATCAGAATTCAGTCTCTTTGCCAAGATATTGGGGAACAATAMCGTARTAGAAAGGGTTACTTTAGCTTTAATGTACAAGCTGTATGTAATAGTAATCTAGAAATAACCGATATCGTTGCAAGGTAATATGATACATTTATACCTAGTATTTTTGGGTTCTACTAAAATAATTAAAAAYATAATGATATAACAATATTATTTTTATGCCTGATTTAGATGGCCTGGATCAGTGCACGATAGCACTATTTTTGACAATAGTTCAGTTCATGCCAAATTAGAAAACAATGAGTTTGGAGATTGTTATATTCTTGGAGGTGGAGGTTACCCATGTAGGAGATATTTAATGACACCTCTTTTAAATCCTCTAACTGCATCAGAAAAAATACCAACTAATTTTATAAAATTATTGTAATTAAGAGTAATAYAATTTACTATATATAAGTATTAAGTATTACAGTAGGTTTAATTAATTTTTGCCAAAAATATTGTAGGTTTAAAATGTAATGATATACTTTAAAGAGTTTCAAGTACCTACAAATAATACTTTTTAAATTGAAACAAAATAACTAAAATCATTATTCTTCAATTAATTATTTAATTTTGTCCGAATTTGAACTTAAAATTTATATTTAAAAAAAAACTCTGTTTATATATATATATTAATTAGATTTTTTCAATAAAATATTAACTACTTAAGAGAGACCTATTGTGAAATAGGTCAATCTATAATTTATAATTTTCAATCAAATAATTGTCAATCCTATTGTGATACTGAGAATAACAAAGTTCGGTTACTTGTTACAACTTTAAGAGTTAAAGTTTCTTGTTGCTCATCGTATACAATTAATATATTAAAATGKTTAAAACGTGTTCCGTTGCTTTTTGCAAAAGTAGAAAAAACTCAAGTGGTGACTTACATTTCTTCTCGTAAGTATAATGTACTGTAGATTGCCAGGGCTCTACGGATTAATAATATATTATAATCCTATAATTGATCTACGGACCACTTTAATTTAACCAGTAAACTAAACTATAATTCAAAAGTAACATTTCACATTTGACATTCAAATTTGAAAGTACTAATGGACTATACATGTCCTTGCACAATGTATAAAYTATATCCCATTCATAGGTAACATTTTGGCAAACCAGTTGCCCTTCTAAATTCTAATACTTTGGTGAACATTACACAATTAGTATAAGAAGCGACAGAAGCTAATCGATTTCATCTCTACGAAAACAACCACTTTTAATGACCTCACTCAAAAGCACCTTATGCATCCACGTGCCGACACTGTATAGAAATTATATTTCTTGAATAAATGACTATTTAATTTTACTATTCAAATTGACTACGACTTATTTCAAATCATCATCTTTTGGATMCCTGWTAGGGGTGCACGAAACATTACTATTAAGTTGTTAAATCATAAATAATATATATAATTGTATTTGATTTCAGGTTTCCTTTAAAAAATCTCGATCTATTGCAACAATGGGTTAATGCTACAAAACAGATTTGTTTGTTCCAAATAGATGGAGTAAAATTTTCAGTAAACACTTTTACCTAGTGATTATAGACAACCTCTTGAGGGAACTTATATTTTAAAATTGAATAGTGACGCTATCCCTACTGTTTGTTTACCATCATCATCCCAACCAACTGTTAAATTCCAAAAAGTAGAGCATGAACTATCTCCTGAAATCGATAACTTGACAGAGGACGAATCTTTAGAAATCCAAAATAGTGATGTCTTTAAAAATCCAAAATAGTGACGAACCTTTAGAAATACAAAATAGTGATGATAAGATAGCTATAGTAATAATAACTCCTGTAATTTTGATCACTCCAATCAAAATAACTCCTACAAGAAAAAGAAAATACATTGAAATAACTACTCCAATAAGAAAAATGAAGTCTCAAATTAAAGTATTGCAACAAAAAGTTCGAAGACAAAATTCAAAAATCAAAAACATGTCTGAATTATTCAAAGAAATGAAAAAGAAGGGACTTTTTGACTCAGAAATGGAATGTACGATCACTAATAAATTTGATGGTAYATTTTTGGAGCTATTTAAAAACCAGTTAAAAAATAAAAAACGCAAAGTAGAAAGTCAGCGATACAGTGATGAAATCAAACAATTTTGCAATTACCTTAAATTATTATTCTCCTAAAGCTTTTAATTATTGTAGGTCAGTGCTGCTTACCTATGTTGTAATTTTGTTGGCGTTGCTTATTTGATGCTTACAACTTAGTTGGTTCATGCTACTATGATCAGCACATGTATTTAGTTTTTAATATTTTTTTCAGATCTAAACTAAAACTCCCAAGCTCTACAGCCATACGCAATTGGACATCCTGTATAAACGTGGAACTAGGTTTTTTTTAAAGAAGTTTTCAATTCACTTTCAAATTTAATTTGTGAAGATAAGCATTGCAATTTAATATTAGATGCTATTTGCATAAGGAAGCAATTTATATGGGATAAAGTAAGTCAAAAATATGCTGGGTATTGTGACTATGGACATGAGGTTGAAGTTGCACATGTTGCCACATGCTTAAACTTGCTACGAATGTTTTAGGCAACAATAATGTGTTGTAATCAAATTCTGGTTTAGTAAAATGGTTCTATATTGAAGAATTATTTGAGGTACAACACAGTTTAACACTGAAGCTAGCCAATAAATTAAGAAAAAATCATGTACATTGGAAAAATAATGATATGAAAGTTAAATATGCAGCACAAACTCTAAGTTCTTCTACATCTGATGCTCTTTATTTTTTAAGATCTATAAATTATAAAAATTTTGGCAGTTCCAATGCTACAAGTGAGTATTGTAGGATTGTAGACAGATTGTTCGATTTTTTGAATTCTAGAAATCCTTCTAAAGGATTCAAATCTACTATTTTTGAAAAAAATATTTCAGTGTTAGAATAAATTATAATTCCTCTAATTGATTACTTATATAATTTGAAAATAATTTTTAAAAAAGCGGGTAAGTCGTGGATGTCGCTCTGCTATACAGTAGGTTACTGTAATGGATGGGATTAAATTTGAATGCAATGATAGGTATCATTGTATA